TCAGGGAGGCTGGACAGCACCGATGGCTACTCGCAGGCACCCTCACCCAGCGTGGGGACGTAGCCAGCTCTGAGGTGGGTGCACAATCTCGGTACCTTTCCATGGCAGCAGGTCTCTGTCGCAAAGATCGGTCCCTAACCCATCTCCTCCGCCCTGCCCAGTGCCCCCTACTGCCACCCCGCGGGCTGGAGACAGAGAGAACAGGGCCGAACCTCCCACCATGCTCCCTACAGCCCTGAGGCTTCCTTGCGCTCTCCCCTCCGGGCATAGACTAGTCTGGCCATGGGCAAAATATGAACTGCCAGCTCAGGGAGGCTAGCCCCTGGCCCCACCCCTTCAGCCAGAGGCCACACCCCCACTGGAGTCCGGAGCCCCCCCACCAAGGCCTCTGGACCCCCCCGAGCCAGCCCTGGACCACCAGAGCACCCCGGCCCCAGAGCACTGGGCGGGAGGGAGGCACGGCACTAGCCTCCTGGTGTCCCGGGCCGCAGGCCGGCCCCCTCTAACACTAGCCCCGGACCCAGCACCGCAATGAGGGAACAGCATGGGCAGTGAGCAGGAGAGGACCTGGGGGCAGAGCATGGGCGGGGCCACGTAGGGCTGTTTGGGGCAGCTCAGTCTCCCTTTGCCTGTGATATCCACCACCCATGAGCCTGGCCCGGCTGAGCCTGTCGCCTGGCCCTGAGCGCGGGCAGAGCGTGACTAGGAGGCGCTCCCTGATTCGGGGGCTCGCAGCACAGCCTCTCACCGAGACGTCCATTCCTGGTCAGGTTCCCAGTGGTGTTGGGGGGCCCTGTCGGGTCTGTAACACAAACCAGACAGGGGGCATGAGGGGGACTGGACAGCTCCGGGGGAGGGTATCGCTAGTGATCACTGAGCCTAGACATGGCTCCTCGCTGTGAGCTCAGCTGGGGGACGGGAAAGTTCCTGAAGTGACACAAGACACGTGGGCGGGGAAGTGAAGCAACAGACCCGACTGGGCCTGACCCAAGAGGCGCCCAACAGAACACAGAGGCCGGGTTAGGGCTGCGCCGGGGAACCAGAACCGTGGGAAATGGAAACCCAAGGGACCAAAACTGGGTGGTCAAAATTGGACCTAATTGACAGAGTCACTAACGAGGGGCCGGGCTGCTTCAGCCTGGGTACTTGAGCGAGCATCACCAGCGCCACTGTCTGCCGGGCGCCTGGGCATTCAGTGTCCTGCTCCCCAAATGTGTCCTGCCCAGGGCGCAACAGAGTCATGGGTCTACGTAACCCCATTCCCACCCACACCCCAGACCCAGCCACCACCAGGGACATCAGACATGTCCCTCACTGGTCCTTTCCCTTCCCCCCTCGGTTTGTCTCTCTGCAGCCCTCTCCTTTCACCCTCTGGCTTAGCTGGTCAGGACTGGATGTTTTGCAGCCCGGCTGCGCCCAGAGGGGCGGCTAAAAGTAACACACAGAACAGCCAGACACAGATACTGGCTGGCCAGGCCTGGCAGGATCCGTCCACGCTGCCCTCAAAGCCCCACGGCGCCGAGCCTCAGAGCCTGGGTCCATTGGGTCGGGCTCATGGGACTCGGGCTGCGGGTCTTTGATTGCAGTGCGGACGTTTCCTCCATGGTCTGTGTAGACGTTCGGGGTCGGGCTGGAGCCTGGGCTCAGACACGGCTGAGAGTCTGGGGGGTGGGTTCCTTCTAAATCTCCCTCCGGCTGATGGGAATAAGGGCTGTACTTACACTGAGGCCTGATTTGATCCTTCACCTTCCAAAGGTGGCCGCTGATTTCCCCTCTGGCCTGGATCTGCAGTGCTAGGGTCACAGGCCATTTAATGGGGGTTTGCCCTGGGACAGGGCAGGCTGAGGTCTCTGGGCACCGAGCCCGGAGCGTGTTTAGTCCCGGATTGTGACTCGGTTCCATTAATACTCTGCCCCATATAAAGCATCCACCAATCCTGGCAGAAATTAGAGGGGGTGGAGGAGACGCGGTGGGACAGCCTGGTGGGATCTCAGGGACAACTGGGGTGGCTGTTGTGAGGGTAAATCCAAACAAGGGGAGATTGCAATGGGCGGGGAGGGTAGATCACAGCACAGGTGGATTTTGGAAGCAGGGCAGGTCGGGGGTAGAGAGGGAAGCCATAACCAATGGGGACAAGAAGGGGTGAAGATCCAAAGGGAGAAGAGCTCCGAGGTGTGGAGGGAAGGGGCCTGGAGTAGAATTGGATGAGGGTGCATGGTGCGGGGTGGGTATCCCAGCACAGGGCTCAGTTCACGGATGGGCTGGAGAGCAGGGCTGGGGAGCCCAGGGGTGGGGAACCCAGCATAGGGAGTTTGGAGCCAGCATGGAGGGGCTGGGTGGGTCACTCACAGCTGATGTGGAGCCGGATGGTTCTGCTGGTGGAAGGTCCCTGTGCTGAGCTGTAGGTAATGGTGCAGACGAGCTCTTTGCCATTGTCTCCCTGGCCGGGTGTGAAGCTGAGCTCGGAGCTGTGGGCCCAGGTGCCGTTCGCCAGCTGGGCTGAGACATTTCGAGCTGTGTCATTGAACGGCCCCGTCCAGGTGACTTGGGGAGGGGACCCGGAGCAGCGCCCAGGGGCCGTGCAGGTCACAGTAACCGGCTCCCCGGCCAGCAACGTCCCTGGCAGCCCCCTCGCCGGCGAGATCTGGATCTCTGGCTCCTCCGTCAACTCTGAGACATGGGGAGAGGGGAAAGAATCAGTCGGGGACTATGGGAATTTGCCCTTTAGGGGCGCCGGGTCCTATCCGGCCACAGGGCAGGGACTGGCTGGCTCAGGGGGGCTGATGAGTGGTGTCATAAATATAGAGGGAAGAGTAACAACCTTCTGTATGTAGTAGCATAAAATCCCTCTTTGGAAGCTGTACTAAATCGCCTTCCCTGTAAGGGATTAATCCGCTCAAATAACCTAGTTGGCACTTTCCGAGAAGGACCAATGAGGAAAGAAGATACTTTCAAATCTGTGGGGGTGGGGGGGAGGATTTGTTTGTTGCTGTCTCTTTGTTGTTCTCGCTCTGGATGGAGGGACAGATCAAGCAGGTACAACATCTCCTGCAAATATACCTGTAATAATAGATCTAAAACCACAGAGATTGTAAGTAGGCAGGGAAAAGCGCTAGGTTCTCTTTTGTTTTAGCTTGTGAATTTTCCTATGCTACAGATGTAGTTTGATTCCTGTTTTTGTAACTGGGAAGCTGAGCCAGAGGGGAATCCTCTGTGTTTTAAAAAGAGTCTGGTCTGTGCTCAAATTGCTCACCAATTGGTTGGTATATTATTCTCAAGCCTCCGCAGGAAAGGAGGTGAAGGGACTTGGGAGGATATTTGGGGGATAGGGATTCCAAGTTACCCTGCCCTGAATATTTCTATAAATCACTTGGTGGTGACAACAATACCGTCCAAGGACAAGGGAAGGAATTTGTGCCTTGGGGAAGTTTTTAACCTAAGCTGGTAGAATATTAGCTTAAGGGTCTTTCCTGCGGGTCCCCACATCTGTACCCCAGAGTTCAGAGTGGGGGGAACCCTCACAAGCGGTGACTGCGGCTGCTCTTACCTGTCACAGAGATCGTGAGCACAGGGGCAGTGCCATCGGAATTGGAGGGGTAAGTGTGATCTAACATGCCTTTCTCGATGTAAAGGAAATATCTCCCCGCATCCGTCCGTCGGGCATCACTGATTTGCAGGGAGCAATCGCCGTGCGCTGGATCCCCCGTCAGCCGGAACCGGCCCTGGGTCTCCTGCGACACCCCCGCGCTGGGGACACTGCTGGCCACAGGAGGATCCTGGCCCACAGTAGCAGGCTCCTTGAACCATTGTCCGTATAGCTGGGCCGAGGGATTGTCGGTGTCAGACGAGGCTGGGTACGTGAAGTTGCAGGGGATGAAAACACAGAGACCCTCCTGCACGGACACCGACTGCGGCACTGCCAGGGTAAATCCAAGTGGCTGGGACAGGGACCCTGCAGGGGACGGGGAGAGATGGAAGTAGGACCCATAGAGAGCAGAGACCAACCCTGAGCGGCACCCCCCAGCACTGCAGGTTCCCCTCACTCCCAACCTGCAGCCCCCTGCGAGCCCAGCCCTGAGATAAACCCCCCCTCGAGGTCTATCAGTGCCCCTCACTCCCGACTGACAGCCCCATGTGATCCCAGCCCTGGGTCCTTGATCAATTCTCACTCCATTTAGTTTTCATTCCTCCCTACATGGAGCCTCCTGTCCACTCCCTGTCACTCAGCGCCCCTTAGCACCACACTGGGGCACTGGGCTCCCCTCCCCCTCTGGCCAGTCTCCCTTTCACATTCTGGGACAGACCTGACACTGCTTAATGCAGGTTCTGCCCTTCCCCCTGCACTGGGGCTCCAGCAGCTGCTGACTTACCCCTCCAGAGCAGGGCGAGGATCAGGACCCTCAGCGTGGCAGGACCCCCTGCTCTCCAGGGGGGGCTCTGAGGTGGGAGCTCCCTTTCCCCGGCGTCATGCTGTGGCAGCAGGGCTCTGCCCATGGCTGGGGCGTCCGGCTGGGACAGACCTAGAGACAGACGGGGGGTGGGAAGTGTGAGAGCAGAGGCTGTTTGGGGGGACAGATCTGCCTGGCGGACCGTCAGTACTGCTGGGCTCTGAAGGGGGCTGATCTGGGGCTGCTGGCAGTGCAGTGAACCCCCCCACCCACACACACACACAGAAAACCCCAAATCACTAGATGGTCCTGAGAGATCGTGGGCTAGAAAATCCTTAAATTGGTGAAAAAAAAATGAGATTTTCTCTAAGAATCATGTGATGGGCCAGAAAATCCTGATCTGGTGACAGAAGATGGTGGGAAGGCAGCGCTGCTCAGTGCCTGCTTTGCTTCAGTCTTCCCACAAAAAACAACATGTGAGCGGGCGACCAGTGAAGTTACCACGGACAACAAAGGGGAAAGGCTGCAAATTGGAATAAGTAAAGAACACGTCAGAGATGTTCCGACCGATTTGAATGAATTCAGATCAGTGGGGCGGGAAGCTGTTCAACCCAGGGTGCTGAAGGAATTAGAAGAAGAAATCTTGGAGCCACTGGCAATAATATTTGCAAACTCCTGGATGCCAGGAGAGGTCTCAGAAGAGAGGAGAAGGACTAACAGAGTGGCCATCTTTAAAAAGGGAAAAAGGAGGAGCTGCGGAACTATAGCCCAGTCAGCCTGACCTCAACAGATGGAAAGCTACTAGAGCAATGTGTAAAACCTCCAGTTTTGTAAAGGGAAATCATGGCTCACCAAACTACTAGAATTTTTGGAGGGAGTCAACAGCATGTGAACAAGGGTCACCCAGTCCATTTACTTAGATTTTCAGAAACCCTTTGACAAGGTTCTTCCCAAAAGGCTTTTAAGCAAGGTAAGGTGTCATGGGATAAGTAGGCAGGTCCTCTCCTGGATCAGTAATTGGTTAAAAGGATAGGAATAAATGGCTAATTTTCAGAGCGGAGAGAGGTGAATAGTGGGGTCCACCAGCGTTCTGTATGTGGACCAGTGTTGTTCAACATGTTCCTAAATGATCTGGAAAAGGGGTAAACAGTGAAGTGGAAAAATTTGCAGATGATACAAAACTACTCAAGAAAGTTAAGTACAAAGCTGACTGCGATGAGCTACAAAGGGATGTTACAAACTGGGTCACTGGATAACAAAATGGCAGATGAAATTCAATGTCAATAAATGCAAAGTTATGCACATTGGGGAACATAATCCCAACAATCCAAAAAAAGTGATGGGGTAAAAATTAGCTGATACTGCTCAAGGAAGAGATCTGAGAATCACTATGATTAATTCTCTGAAAACACCCACTCAATGTGCAGCGGCTATCAAAAATCATTAAGAAAGGGATAGATAATAAGACAGAAAATATCATATTGCCTCTATATAAATCCATGGTACACCCACATCTTGAATACTGCGTGCACTTCTGGTGGCCCTATCGCAAACTGGAATTGGAAAAGGCTCAGAAAAGCGCAACAAAAATGATTATGGGTGTGGAACAGCTTTCATAAAAGGAGAGATTAATAAAACTGGGACTGTTCAGCTTGGAAAAGAGATGACTAAGGGGGGCTATGATAGAGGTCTATAAAATGGGTGACAGGTGATGGATCACTTGTTGATTCCCTGTTCTGTTCATTCCCTCTGGGGCACCGGGCACTGGCCACTGTCGGAAGACAGGATACTGAGCTAGATTATCCTTTGGTCTCACCCAATATGGCCATTTTTATGGAGAAATGTGGGCTTGGTGGAACTACTATTACGTGGATATAGAACTGGTTGAACAACCACAAACAAGAAGTTAATGGAGTGATGTGGGATTGGAGGGACGTCTCAAGTGGGGCTCCACAGGGATCTGTTCTGGGTCCCGTGTTGTTTAACATCTTTATCAATGACCTGGATGTAGGACTAGGGAGCAGACTGATCAAATCTGCAGATGACACAAAGCTAGTGGGGGTTGCCAACACTTTGGAAGATGGATCTAAAATTCAGAGGAATATTGATAATTGGAGAATTGGGCTGTAGAGGACACAATGAAATTCATGAAGGACGAATGGAAGGTGCTCCATTTAGGGAAGAAAACACAAAATGCACAAATACAGGATGGGGAAGAACTGGCCTGGCAGCAGCACTGCTGAAAAGGAGCTGGGAGTTGTGGCGGATCACAGCCATGACATGAGTCAGCAATGTGATGCTCTTGCAAAAAAGCAAATGCAATGTCAGGTTGCATGAACAGAGGCAGAGCATGCAAGTCACGGGAGGCGACTGTACCACTGTATGCCTCTGCTGGAGGACTCTGTCCAGTTTTGGCCACCAATGTATAGAAAGGATGTAGAGAAACTGGAAAGGATCCAGAGGGGAGGGATAAAGATGATGAAAGGGGTGGTATGGAAGCCCTACGGGCACAGCCGGAAGGAACTTGATATGGTTAGTTTGGAAAGGAGATTGGCAGGGTGGGAGGGAACATTATCGCTGTTTGCAAATATTGGAAAGGCTGCCATCAAGAAGATTGTTCTCTCTCGCCCCACAGGGCAGGACGAGGGGCAACAGGTTCAAACTACAGTAGCCCTCCTTGCCGCCCAAAATTACCCATATGGGGAAGGGGAAACCCCTGGGAGTTCCATTTCCCACCATCCCTCTGATGCCCTCAGGTGTTCTCGGAAGGAGGCTGAGAGATGAGAGCTGGGGAACCCCCTGCTGTACGTGGCCCCCAGAGCCAACACCTCCAGTGTGGTCCTCATGGTCGGGGATCCCTGTGGCGGGACACTGCTTGGCCTGGAGGGCACCCTCAGAGCTGCGGGGGCAGGGAGCGATGGCTGGGATCGCAAAGGGCTGTGGGTAGGGATTGAGGGTCACGCCAGTTGCCACAGACCATCCAGCTCCCTCCCCAGTTCCACTCACCCCTAGACCTGCAGAGGGGGGCACAGAGCCTGGGCCTCTGACCCTGCAGCCCGGGTTCCCCAGGGTTTGTGACTCAGAACCTGGGGAAGCGGCATGCACGGGAATGTGAAAGTAAAAGTGGGTGCAGACAGGAGGAGGTTGGGGGGAGATGCTATCTCAGCAACCCCAACACCAGCATCCTGGCCGACTTCCCCTCCTTCTGCCTGGGGCTCCCTGTGGCTTCCCTGCAACGGGGCAGGCTGCATATTGCTTCTGGGGCTGGAAATAGATCCCAGCAGTCTGGGTTCTGATCCCCTCTGCACGTCACTCTGCTCCCAGAGCTGGGACAGAGCCCAGGAGTCCTGACTCCCTGCCTCTAACCCACTAGACCCTGCTCCCCTCCCTGAGCCAGGGACAGAATCCAGGAGTCCTGGCTTTGAGACCCTCTATATCTCACTCTCCTCCCAGAGCCGTGGATGGAACCCAGGTGTCCTGGCTCCCAGCCGCCTGTCCCAGCTCTATCCCTTCATTACTTCTTTTAATATTTGAACACTAGCAGCTCACACCTCTTATCCTATTGTACATGCTGCAGACGCTAATCACTCACCCCGAGCTGAGATGCAGCCACCTCCAGGCGGGGCAGCCACACAGCGACACTGTCCAGAGGTTGCTCACCCGGAGCTGAGATGCGTCCACCTCTGGGGTGGGGTGTCTGGGAACAGCGCACTGGAACAGCAGGTGCCCGGTTAGGACAGCTAGCGAATCCTGACTCCAATTTGAAGAGCCAGGTGCATGTGAAGAGCAGCCTGGGACGGAGCGGGCGCAAGTGTCAGCGCGTGGGCTGTGGCGAGATGTGAGATTTCAAGACAGGAAGGGGAAGTCAGCGTCTGGCCCTAGAAGGTCTTTCAGAAGCCGGTTCCAATGGCTGGAGATCTCGGTGCCATTGATGCAAGTGGGAGACTGTTACAGACAGAGGCCTGCTCCCAGGGACAGCCGGCTTCCGGCCTCACCACAGGGGGACTGGCTGGGGGTGGAGGGAATGGGGCACGGGGCCTTTCCCCTGTAGGGAGCCCTGGCTCCAATCTGCTGCAGGGTGCGACACTGGTTGGCTCTGGGGAGTGGGAGTGGGACCAGGGGTCCTTCCCCTCTAGAGTCTCTTTTATTCTCTGTCTCTCAGTTCTTCAAACATCTCCTAGGTCCCTGGTCACTGAGTCTGGGGAATCCTTTTCGATGGGACCCAGGTTATCGGCTGGATCAGGAGAAGCAGCTGGATTCCACGGCCCCCCATAGACACGGTCCTTCAATTTAAGAGCTGAGATGCAGCTGAATCTGTCCTGGTTCATGGGGGCTGTTTACAGAGGGACCTCTCCCCAATGCTGAGATGTGGCTGCCTCTGGGGTGAGGTGCGGGGGCTGTTTATACAAGGACTCCTTGCCCGGTGATGAGATACACAAGGGTTTGGGAGAAACCTAGAACTAAAAGAAACACAGCGCCCCCTAGGGGCATTGGGACCAGCCCCGATGGCCGGGCCCTCCCAAGTCTCCCACCCCAGCCAGACCCTGCCCCGCTCTGCCCCAGGGCAGTGGTACGTCAGCTCTGCCCTCTGTGTGTGGGCCCCGGCGGCTGTGCTGGGAGGCTGGTTGCTGGGTGGATCTTCCACAACAGGAAGTTTCCAGTTGGTGAGTTTGCTCCACCTCCTGCTGGTTGGCCCCTGTTTGGGGCTGGGCGAGAGCCACAGAGAGCAGGGGAGAGGGTCCCATTGAACAGTGGGGTGCGGCCGCTTAGACATAGGTCGCTGGCCAGTGGTGAAAGTGGCGAGCCTGGGGCAGATTCCTGCTGGGACTGTCGTTGCCGGATCTAGTGGGTTACAAGTCACTGTGCTCGGTCCATGCGGATCAGGGCAGAACCCTGGTCCTTCGGGTGAGAGCCAGGGCAGCAACCCCATTGTCCGGGCCGCCCACTAGCTTGGTGTGGTACATTCTGCATCTGGTTAATCCCCATTTGGTTTCAATCTCTTTTAAATTAGCTGCCTGTGTGGTTTCCCTCGGTTGCTGTTAAACAGATGCCCCACTTGGAGGTGGCTGCATCTCAGTGCCAGCCGGGAACGGAACCTTATATAAACAGCCCCCGCACCCCACCCGAGAGGTCATTGCAGCTCAGCGCTTGCCAAGGGTCCCTGTGTAAAGAGCCCCCGCACTCCACCCCAGAGGTGGCTGCATCTCAGTGCTGATTAAGGGATCTTTGTGCATTGTATTGAGCTTAGTATATGACTTGTGTGTTTTTCCTGGATCTTGTGAATTACCAGGTTAAGATGTAGGAAAAAAAGTGATTCACTGGGAAACCTTGGAACCGCCAGATCAAGATCAAAATCTTATATTACTGGAGATCACAGTGACTGGGGTCCATCTCTTACAGATATGGCAGGGCAAGGGTTAATTACCAGTCATTATCTATCTATCTATCTTAATAATTCAAAAGTCTGTTTTTTTCAGTGTCCTGAAAATATTTTAAAACATGGGGCAGGAATTGAAAAATGTGGGATATTTTTTGTGATCATTAGTTTTAAATGGCCAAGATCTCTCTGAAATCTTTCTAAAATCCAAAAAATACTGTGATTAGTTTTTATGAAATTTTTATTTTAAAAACAGCCTGTGACGAATTATGGGATTTTGTTAGCGATTTGCATGAATACTGTCTGTGCCTCAGTTTACCTGTGTGCTGCGTGTGTAATGAGGTGGTGGGAGAGGGGGGTTGTGGTTGCAGAGGGGCAGGTGTGACCTCAACTAACAGCCCAGACCCTGGACATCGGCCTGGACACTGTAGAACTTAGCAACCGGTGAGCTGAAGGCCCAGCCCATCTTGGGAGCCAGCCGGTTCTGGCCCGTGGGAGGACAAAGGCCAGAGGAGAGATGGCCCAGGAAGGCAGCTGGTTCTGGCCAGTCGGGGAACAAAGGATGGAAGAAAGGGGACTCAGGTGACCTGTTTGCCCAGGAACAAAGACAAAGGGTGGAGGTGGGGCTGGTGGGGGAGCTCGGCTGGAAGGAGGTCGCTTCTGGACTGGGGACAAAGAGGTGTCTGAACTACCTGGACGGGGTCAAACCCAGCTGGATGGTGCTGAGTCTGGCCAGGCCCGAGGACCCTGAGAACTGCCTGTACTGGGTTCAGACGTTCAATAAACCTCCTGTGTTCCGCTGGCCGAGAGTCACTGCAGGGTAGAGATCGGGGGGCGTTGCTCCCTCTGGGTGGGGAGGCCGTGGGTGTGCAAAGTGAGGAGACTCCCTGAGGGGGCTCACAGCGAGACATAGGCAGGCTGAAGGTTCAGAGAGGGGTGGTTCCAGGAGGCGCTCAAGCCCAGGTCTTAACCCCCCAGAGTGTGTGTGACCCCGAGAAGGGCTGTCACACTGAAGGGGGCTCCTCCCAGGGACCATATGGAGTCAAGAAAGCCCGGGGTCTGTGAGTCTGTGACACAACCCAGATCTGGTGTATTAGGTTTAATACAATAAATGAAACATAATTAGCATCATTATATAAAATATATCCTAAAATAATAGTCAATGTATGTATATATCCAGTGTATGTGTGTGCACACTGTCTGTATGTACTTGCTCTCTCTCTCTGTACATATGTGTGCGTGTATGTACAGTACCAACCTGTTTATGCGTGAATCCGCTTAACACGCTGTAGCGCCATGCTGCCCTCTGCTACCTATGTAACACGCGAGACTCTTTAACACATAGAACTGGAACTTGCTATGTAGCGCTACAGATTTCCTCACTGACTCACTGACATAGAAATTGACAGGAAGTGCGGAGCGGAAACGTGTTGTACGTCTTTACCAATATTCGTGAAGACGCATCACGCACACTTAGTCATTGTCACGCTAGAGGGCAGAGGGCAAGTGTCAGCGTTTCTACACTGTAGAAGAAAGCTAACTGCAATAGAGCGAGTAAATAGCGGAGAAACCCAGGCCAAAGTTTCAAAAGCTATTGGGATTTCCGAATCTACTCTCCGAGGATGGCTAAAAAACTAATCTAAACTGAATGGCTTTGTACAAAATATCGATTCTGCCATGGGGCTTAAGGGAAAACGTGTGCGCTATTCAGCAAAACCCACAATAGACAAAGCCATGCGCACGTGGTTTGCTCAGGAAAGGCTGAAAGGAATGCCACTAAGTGGGCCAATTCTTCAAGCCCAAGAGACAACATTTGGAAATTTAACAGGGGATGAATAATTCCAAGCCAGCAAGGGGTTTATAAGTCTTTTAAAAAGCGTCATGGCCTAGCACAGGTATTGATTTCTTTTGGCATGTGCTAATTACAATCCTGTATCTCCAGTGGAGTGTGTCTTCATTCCTGATCACAATTGATCTTCCTAATTTGAAAAACATACGGGAATAAAAAGTGAGTTTTATTCCTATTGGCAATTTTACAGTTTCTGTGATTCTCAGACATGTCTAGAAACCAAGGATTCTGCTGCGTTTGGAGCAATCCAAGCACATAGTTGGTGCTACTGTAACACAAAGACAAACACAATCGATTCAGCATTTCTCAAAGACTGAACACTTGCTTTCATGTTAAGATCTGGCTTTGTGGTAACTGAATTGTCTTGCAGGGATTAGTAGCTAGCATCACCTGGTCTGCTCTGTTCTTGCACCATAACCCACTTCTGACAACAAAAATTATTACACAACCCCAAGAGGGGGGATCAAAGTTTGAGACCATCAGAGCCCCGGGCTGTGAGGCTTGGGCTTTGGTCCCGGGCTACAGGAAGTCTAAGCCAGCCTTGGTGACCCCATTAAAATGGGGTTGTGACCCACTTTGAGATCCTGATCCACAATTGGAGAGCCACTGCTCTAGAGGGTATCGTACTGCGGTCGTCACCAGGGTATCTGGATGCCTTGTGGTCATCACAGAAAAAACCCAGTCATCCAGGGCCGGCCTTAGGCATGGGCGAAGGGGGCTGTGATGGGTTTGGTCAGAGACCCCCTTGGGACTGTCACCTGATGTGCTGACATTACCTTAGAGCCCATTTTCCTTGTCAGCTTGGGACTGCAGAAACCTGCCTTGTTGAGCCAGACATGCTAGCCTGCTGCAACACAGACCCAGGGTCTGAACCACGCCCCCAAAGCTGCAGACTTTAATGAAAATGGCTGAGCACGTGCTCCTGTCTCTAGCACCCAGACACTCAGCTCCCAATGGGATCCAAACCCCAAATAAATCTATTTTGCTTTGTATAAAGCTTATAAAGGGTAAACTCATAAATTGCCCGCCTTCTATAACAGTGATAGAGAGATATGCACAGCTGTTTGCTCCCCCAGGTATTAATCACTTACTCTGGGTTAATTAATAAACAAAAATGATTTTATTAAGTAAAAAAGTAGGACTTAAGTGGTTTGAAGTAATAACAGTCAGAAAAAAGCAAGTTATCAAGTAAAATAAAACAAAACAGGCAAGTGTAAGCCTAATACATCAAGAAACTGAGTACAGGTAAATTTCACCCTCAGAGATGTTCCAATACATTTCTTTCACAGACTAGACTCCTTCCTAGGGCAAAAATGTGTCTGGGGATTAGTCCTGCTTTGAGCAGAGGGTTGGACTAGATAACCTCCTGAGGTCCCTTCCAACCCTGATATTCTATG